CAACCTCCCACCGCTCATCCGCGACTCTTATTCGCCTCGCTGGCAAAGCGCAGCTTGAAGCCGTTGCACAGCGCGCGCATGTCCGGGTACGGGTTCTTGAGCAGCTCAAAGGCGTTGGGGATGACCTTGACGGGCCAGGCGTTGAGCTTGGCGTTCTGTCCGCCCTTGAAGCACAGGTGGAAGTAGCCGGGGTGCTTAGGGTCGATGCAGAAGGCGTATACGGAGCGCTTGGGGTTGGCCTCGGTGTAGGTCGTCAACCAGCGTTCTGAGGGCGCAGTTAGTATGCGATAAGGAGGTACGAATTAGGGGGGGGTAACATACCTGTGTCGGCCTTGCTGCCCTTTTGGTACTTCTCGTGCTGCATCATCTCGTCCACCTTGCGAGCCATGGCTTTGACGTGATCCACGATCAGTTCATCCAGATCGCTGTAGGTGTACTTGCCGCCGATACGAAGTTGCTTGCCAACCGTGAACTCGTTCTCCTTGAGCAGCTCGAGGACGTCAATGTGCTGGTACACACCATCTGCCACCTTCCATGTCACAGTCAAGTGATCATTACCCTTGGACGACGTTCTGATAACGGCGTCGCCGGAGCTCTGAGATCCGAGATACTCCTCCGCTTGGGTGGAATTGAATGGGCGGAACAGAGGATGCTTGATGACACGCTGAGCACGCCCAGTAACCTTGTCCTTCTCCCTCAGCTCCTCCCTGTCCCTCGCTTCCTGGTTCGAGTCCCACTGGTCATCCATGTGGTTCAAGCGACGGCGGAACGGTCTCTTGACCTCCTGCTCTCTCATCGAGAGCTTAGCCGAGAACTCGCGCCTGTCCACCGATAGTAATTTAGCTTGCGCAGCTTGCCCTTGAGAAAAGAGTCTCGGCAACGGCACATCATTGTTGTCCGTGGCTTCATATGCCTCCACGCGACCTTCCAAGCCCGAGTCGAGCTTGACGATGAGGAACTCATCGTTGACAACGCGGACATTGATAGAGACAACCATGCCCTCGCAAAGCGAATCGTTAGTCTCGCCAGTGAGCATCGTGAAAACATCATCTTCGCTCAACATAGCGAAGTTGCGGCGCAGCTCTTCGTAAGGCTGGATGAGCTCAGCGCGGATGGTCTCGAGGGTAGCACGCTTCTTCTGGTTGTAATTCTGCTCCAGCTGCTCCGCATACTCCTCGAGAATGAGATCGTTGACCTTGTCCTGCTCATCATCCTTGATCAGCTTCCGCACGACGGCTCCGGGGCCGTTCTCGTCGACTTCAGCCTTGACGTCTTCCTCGTCGAGCTCAAGCGCGTCAGCAGCCATCTTCCTGCCCAGCTCGTAGTCCTCGGGGTGCACACGCGTGTTATCTAGGTAATCGGACGTAGACATGGAAGGATCGTACTCGATGCTCAGGAAACTAGCGCAGTTGTTCCACACGCGCGGGCCAACGACGGGCAGTTTCTGGCTGTCTGGGTCTCCGACGAGCTCGTCACGGCTATTGACCATGCCGCCATTCATGTTGATAGCCTTGATCACACTTGTCGCCTTGCGAGGGCCGAGTCCACAAACATAAGGCAACAGGTTGGCGACGTACGGGTCAGTGACGGCTTCGTTGATATCGATACCGCACAGATTCACCATGTCAACCATGGCAGTATCCAGCTGCTTGCGCAGCGTCTCCTCTGGTACCAGGTGCTGGCATCGGTGGAATATCAATGATACGATATCGTTGCCGAGGGCCGCATACTCCTTCATAGGGTTCTGAAGATATTTCGCCAAGGCCACACAGTACCGAGTGACAGACGAGAGCCCCGGGTAGTCGCCGAGAGCCCTCGGACTATCACGATACAGACGTGCAACTTCGTCATTAACAACCACCACCTCAAGCTGCTCGTTGTGCGTCTCATTAGTATCGCGCACATCAAAGTCTGGCCCCCTGAGGTCTCGCTCCGCGACCAAATCCCTGATGTCTTTGATCATCTTGTTGGTCTCGATCGAGAAACCACCCACGCCGATAACATCGGGCTTCCGGCGCTGCACCAGCTCCGCGAACTCGTCGCGCGACCGGTCATCGCGAGACAGGTTCTCAAACTGTCCATTCTCCAAGACACGTCCGTCGTCTTCGACCCAGGCCCAGTAAACCGGACCGCGCGCCGCATCGCCGCTTCCGCTGGAGAGCGCCAAAACGCGAGGGGTGGTGCCAAGAACCATTCCCTTAGGCTTGTATGGCGCCTGATCCAGCTTCTTTGAGTATTCGTCGCGGCACGCTTTGAGGACTTCGGACTCGCATTCGTTGCGCATGTTTTCCTTGACACTCTTCACCATGATCCTGTCGAGACGGCGGAACGCCAGGTCAAGGACCTTCAGGCGCTCATCGTTCCATGCATCAGCCACCTCACTGTAGTTGTCGGAGGTGAACTCCTGGAGAAGCTGCCTCCTGAAATCGCGCTCCTGCTGCATCGTGATCCTGACCTCCAGAAGGCCCTCCTCTTCTGCCTTCAGCATCTTGAGGAAAACCTCGGGTTGCCTGGCAATGTCGGGGATCGTCATGTTCCGGAGATACTTGAGCTCGTAGTATTGGTTCTGGTCGTCGATGCGCCGTAATCCCTTCTCGGTGCGTTGGCAGCTGACTGTGCCCATCTGGAAATAGCTCATGCGGAAGTGCTTGCGCATCCTCGGGTTCATGACCATCTCCTCGCTGAACATCTGGCGAGCAGCGAGCAGGACCTGCTCCCCCGTTCTGAAATCATCGTCGCTCGTCAGCGTATCTGCCAGCTCGATGGGACGAACTGCGGGGTCCTCAGTGTACTGTTTCCGGCCTTCGCGGAGAGCGTTCTTCGCGATGTCCTCGGCGCTAATACCATAGGCGCGCACGAGGTTGTAGGCCTGACCGTTGCGGACGCGCTCAAAGATTGAGGACCTGGAGCCTGGTCGTCGCTGGTGGGGTTCCTTTGCATTTCCATCAATGACAGCAAGGTCCTTGAGCTGTCCAGAGTAGGTGAAATGGAGGTATTCCTGCAGATCCTGCAGCTCTTCCATGGTAGCCGCAACGGGTATCATCTCCTCGAACATCTCGTCCTTGACGTCGGATGCTGATTTGAGGTTATCGTATGCCTTCTCCAAGATATTCCGCTTATCGACGAACGCCCTGAACTTCAGGTCGAGCTCGAGGATTCTCCAGAGGTCATCCTGGTTGAGCAGCTTCTGAGCGGTTACGCCATACTCTGGCTGGTCGGGATTCGATGGGTCGGGGGCAAGTCTCGTTCTTTTTGCGTGGATCAAATAGTCCTTGCGATGTTGGAACACATATGGCACCTCCACCTCGTCGACAACGAAGAACTCCAGCACCTTGCCAATAGCCTTCTGGAATGGACCCTGGAGATCGCCTCCCGGCGGCAAATTCGGGCGCTTCTTTGGCCAGATCAGGTTGGTGATCCACTTCGCTTCCTCCTTGAACTGATCGTCGGTGATCTGGACATGCCTATATGCCTTCCGCTGGAGCTGGAAGCGCTCCGGCTCATCGGCCCAGCGAATCTCGTTGTCTTCATCCGTCAAGAGCCTCTCAGCGAGCTGGGACGGCTCAAAGACGTCCTTCAGCTCGAGCTGCTGGTCACCGACCTCGCGGATCTCATCCTCCTGTTCCATATCGAGGGCCCAATCGTATTCCTCGCCATTGCCAAAGATAGCCTCCATATCCTCCAGGGTGTCCTTGTCAAGACCTGAAGCCTCTGTTCCCGCCCCGACGTATGTACGGTCGCGCGGCCTAGCAACCTCCATCTCCTCCTGGTATCGGAGCTTCTGGTCTTCATCCTCGAGTTCGTCCTCCTCGATGAAATCGGCAAACTCGTCGACATTTCGGTGGTCCGCGCGGAGAGGGTGTCGAGGAGCTTCATCGACATCGGCGGCTTCGTCTTCGGAGAAGATTTCATCGAGCCCTCGTTCCCTATCGCGCTCGTCTTCGTCCCTATGACCACGCTTGAGACGCTTGTATTTATGCTAGAGTGGTAATTAGCACAGCAATCGTAGCAGTGAGGCGATATATGTACATCAGTTGTCGTCTTGGCCTGCCACTCTGGGTTCGCCTCCCCAATCAGATCGAGATCCTCTTCGTCCAGGGCGACCTCCTCCTTCTCGCGCTCAGCACGACGGCGCTTTCCCCGTCGCCGTTCTCGTGCCTCGGGCTCCTCGTCCTCCTCATCATCGATGATGAAACCTTCGCGGACCTGGAAGAGCGGTTAGCCTCTGTCATTGCCACTGCGCCACGCGCTCTGGGCGGAACATACAGCGCGTGCGGCCTCGGCGTCATCATCGTCCTCTTCCTCCTCGCTGGAGTCGTCCATGTCAGGCCTCGCCTGTTCCTTCCGTGGGCGGCCCTCGCCAGTCTCTTCGTCGAAGGACTGGTCATCTTCCTCGTCGGAGGCAAGCTCGGCCTCGCCCGAGATGAGGTCGCGCATACTCATGCTGGGCAACGAGGCTGTTGTGGATGGGGCGAGTAGCCCGGTGTTGGGTTCGGATGGCGGGTGCAAGTAGCGTAACCTTGTATCTTCCACCGCGACAGAAGTGAAGGTGTAGAAGGGGGGAAATGAAAGAGAAAGAAGAGGTTGAGCGTGAAGTGGGATATTAGAAGCTCACTTGTTCATTGAACACGCTCAAAAAGTCGCGACGTTCTGAAGTTGGTAGGGGTAGGCAGAGGGACCTGTCACGTTATAAGTCACGTTATATGTCACGTTATAAGTCACGTTATATGTCACGTTATAGTCACATTAAGTCACGTTATAGTCACATTATAAGTCACGTTATAAGTCACGTTATAGTTACATTATAAGTCACGTTATACGAATTCAACTTAAAGGGTGGTGGTAGAAATATTATAGTATGCCTTATTTATAAGGCCGCAGGTGATAGTAGTTTTAGTTGTGCCTCAAACCCATAACTTACAGTGTAAATAAATTCACTGGATGTAAGTTACAGTAAGAAGGAGAATATTATATCATCTATGAAACTACCAATACTAGCAAACTATTAAACATTTAATATTCCTGGAATTCTGTCAATCCTGGTCTCTCAAAGGTGAATGGCTGCTGAACGGACAGTACAGTTCCCAATAATTCAATATTTCCTACAGAAATTAACAGGAACGGGGTCCCCTATTCCCTCGAACCCCTCTATTTGAATTATTTGAATTCTAGTCTACTCGGCTTGGCTCTACTAGACTTGTACAACTTATACCATATACCACAATCCCCCCATACGTTCGTCTTTCAAGCTCTTTCGACTCCGCTCTTGCTCGCTACACTTGCATCTCTTAAGCGCCCATCCGCCCAATCTGCGAATCGCCAAAATCAACTGGCGGCTGCGACTAACACCAACGCAAATCGATACAGTGCAACGGCCACCGACCCCTTCCTGAACCCGTCCCCCCCCTTTGTGCAACCTACCTCCTGCATTCCGTGTCTAGATCCGGCCTCCTCGCACCTCTGCACCTTCACCTCGCACTCACGGCGAACAAATCCCGCATCGCCACCCGCACACGAACCCAACTCCCCCCCTCTCACCAGCAGAAAACTAATCTACAAACCCAACCCCAAGGCCACGGCCGTTGCAGAGAGCCTGCTCCCTCCAACTAAAACACACACTACCGCATCGGCGTATCCACCCCACCCCACCCGCAACGATGTCGGCCGAAGTCTTCGGCGTGCGCACGATGAAGCGCAAGAACGTGAAGGGCCTCGCGCTCAACGCACCGGCCCCCCGCGCCCCGGCGCCCTCGAATGACGACCACGCTGCCCTCGACGACGCCGCCAGCGGCCGCACGGCGCAGCTCGAGATCGGGATCGAGTACAAGCTTGATTTGAAGCGGGAGGATCTCGAGGTGCTGAAGGAGCTTGGCAGCGGGAATGGGGGGACCGTTAGTAAGGTCCGACATATCGCGACGGGGACGGTGATGGCGAGGAAGGTGAGTGCTGGGTGGTCTGGGTGGTATGGAGAGTGTGTTGTGCGGAGGTGCTGATTTTTTTGAATAGGTCATACATGTGGAGGCGAAGAAGGAGATTCGTCGCCGGATCGTGCGGGAGCTGCATATCATGCACGAGTGCAACTCGGACTACATTGTGAATTTCTACGGCGCCTTCCTGAGCGAGAGCAACGATGTCATCATGTGCATGGAATACATGGACGTTGGGTGAGCCCACCCCTTCCCTCCCACTCTCAACTACTGACCGCTCCCTCCAGCTCCCTCGACCGCATCTCCCGCGACTTCGGCCCAATCCGCGTCGACGTTCTCGGCAAGATCGCCGAGGCCACCCTCGGCGGCCTAACCTACCTCTACATCAAGCACCACATCATGCACCGCGACATCAAGCCCTCCAACATCCTCGTCAACTCGCGCGGCTTCATCAAGCTGTGCGACTTCGGCGTCTCCGGCGAGCTGGTCAACTCCGTCGCCGACACCTTCGTCGGGACATCGACCTACATGGCGCCCGAGCGCATCCAGGGCGAGAAGTACACCGTCAAGTCAGACGTGTGGAGTTTCGGGCTGTCGATCATGGAGCTTGCTATTGGGAAGTTCCCGTTCGATGCTAGCGAGCACCTGTCGGATGGCGATGCCGCGCCGGCGGGTATCCTCGACCTCCTCCAGCAGATCGTGCATGAGCCTGCGCCACGGCTGCCGAAGAGCGAGGCGTTCCCGCAGATTCTGGAGGATATGATCCAGAAGTGCATGTCCAAGCGACCTGAAGAGCGTCCTACGCCTCAAGAACTCTACGTATGTCCACCACCTCTCCCCCCCTCGCCCCCTGCCTTCCCCCTTACCGCCCCAAACTAACACCCACCCAAGGAACGCGAACCCTTCGTCCAAGCCGCAAAACGCACCCCCGTCGACCTCCGCGACTGGGCCGTCTCCCTCATGGAAAGACACAACCGCCGCTCCCACCTCGCCCCGCAACTCTCGCCCGCAACACAGGAACTCCTCCGTTCCTCCGACACGCCTTCCGCCACCCCTCCTCCCACCACCACCTCGACCTCCACCTCGTCTTCCATCCTCACGCCCAGATCCGCAACTGGTGATATCCCAATAACCACCGATCCGCGTATGGCGGCGATTAGCCCGAGGGAAATGGTGGTGAATACGATTAATGGGATTCGCTCACCTACTAAGGCTCCGCCGCCGGTGCCGAGTGCGAGGACGCCAAGCGTGCCGCAGCAGCAGGGACAGGGGTTTGTGATGAGGAAGGTGTTGAGTCCGGAGGTGGAGCAGGGGGGTTTGGGGGGGGGAATAGTCATGTGCTGCCGATTAGGAATGGGCCGCCGGGGGGGCCGTTGCCGGCGCCGCCGGTGCCGAGGAAGGAGGAGAGGGGAGGGGGTGGGGGGGGAGGTATTTTGGGGTGGATGGGGGGGGTGGGTATTAAGGGGGGAAGGGGGGAAGGGGGAAGGGGGGGAGGAGGGAAGCGATGAAGCGATGAAGGGATGAAGGGGGGAAGCGATGAAGCGATGAAGGGATGAAGGGGGGAAGCGATGAAGGGATGAAGGGGGGAAGGGATGAATGATGAAGGGATGAATGATGAAAGGGATGAAGTGAAGGGGGAGGATGGGATATGGAAATGATGGAGGGATGAGATATGAGGTGACTGCACACACATTCTGGGCGTCTATGATAAATTTTTCTATGCTTTTTTTTCGAAATATTCAGCCGATTTTTTTCTTTTGTTTTGGAGCAAGATAGATGGCCACCCACACCACCATATCAACAAGACGAATCATTTTTATTCGGTTAAACAAAGGTTAGGTCTCGGTCTAATCGGTATGATAAAAACCGTCCCCTCTCCATCCCCATCCGTCCTGTTGTTCGCCCCCCGTACATGGCAATCCGGCCCCCCATCACCCGGCCAGCACCCCGCCGTTGACCCCTCAACCATCAACAAGAGCACACCAGCCACTACGAAATCAATCTAGCATTCCCTAGCATTCATAGCTCCACGATCTCCCTCCAGGGGCCACTTTAGCGTACCACGATGTGCTGGTCTGGTCTTTGCTGGGTGTCACGATGTGCTGTGTCCATGTGCTGTGTCATGTCATGTCCAGTGTCTAGGGTCTATGTCTAGTGTCCAAGTCCAGTGTCTAGGGTCTATTTAGTGTTCATGTCCAGTGTCTAGGGTCTATGTCCAGTGTAGTGTCCATGTCAGTGTCCATGTCTACCGTCCAGTGTCCATGTCAGTGTCCATGTCAGTGTCCATGTCCACTATCTAGTGTCCATGTCAGTGTCCATGTCAGTGTCCATGTCCACTATCTAGTGTCCATGTCAGTGTCCATGTCCACTATCTAGTGTCCATGTCAGTGTCCATGTCCACCGTTCACCTCCACTCCACCCACCCCCCCATTGGCCCCGTCACCCCTTCCCTCTCACCTGTACATCACAACCAATACCTCCACCAAGTACCACCACGTACCAAACCCCCCCCCCCCCAACCCCCAAAAGCTACTCGCCCTGATTCGCCCACACCCACCCGTTGGCACCACAGCAGCCCTCCAAAACGCCAACGCAGAGCTCGCCAAACGATCCACCGCCGCCGCTCTTCCTCCTCACTCGCTCCAGTCAAGGTCAGCCCCGATTTCCACAGTGAACTAACTACCTGCTACTACCCACCAAGCCAGTCCAGCGATCTAGAGAGAGAGAGGCACGCAGGGCATAAACACGGATAAATAACACCTGCGTTCTGCCTTTTTTTGTTGCTGCTGCAAACTACGACGGCTAGTTATTGACGGTGGACGGAGTGGCTGTTTTTTGGTTGCTGAGAGTGAGTGCTGTTTTTTGGTTGCTGAGAGTGAGTGCCTGTTGTTTATGCTCCCCTATGGACAGGAGTGGGATGAGAGAGAGGCCGAGGAGAACGAGAGCTGACCGATGGGAATTGTTGTAGGCTACCTGGCTCATCCACCAGACTGAACGAATCCAGACATTGCACCAGACGAAAACACAACCACCACAACCCGCCATTGAACACACATCCCTCTCACCACCACCCACGCGCCTCCACACCCGCCCATGCAGCCCGCACCCACGCGCCTCTGAAGCCCAATGGCCCTGCAAACCTCGCGCGGCCCGCCGCTGCCCGCGCCCACCGACACCTCGAGCAACTCCGGCGTCGGGGTCAACAGCGGCGGCGCAGGCGTCGACGCGGCCGGCCTAGACGGCACCGAGCTCTCCCGCGTCACTGACCAGTCGGACCAGACGTCGTACTCGATTCCCGAGGATGGGAGTCCCGTGACGATCCCGACGCATCGGAGGAGGGAGGGCGCCGATCGGATATCGAGAGAGTCGCATCCGTCGCAGACGTCGTTGCTGATTGAGTATTTTGAGGGGGGGAAGGAGAGTCAGGTTGAGTCGAGGCGGCCGAGCGTGAGGGTTAAGGTTACGCCGAGTGGGAAGAGTAAGGGGAGGAGTGGCGGGAGTGGCGGGCATATACAGATTACGAAGTCCCGGTCGGGGGGGAAGGAGGAGAAGGATGGCGGGACGAAACCGTCCTATACAAAGCGCATTCACCTGTCGTCGTCGGGCGGGAATACGAAGAATGCGCGATTAGTGGATCTCGAGGGTGATGGACAGAGTCTCAGCTCCTATGCTTCGGCGACGGAGGAGTCGAATGTCTCGCGCAACCCGATTGAGATTGAGGTTGGCCCGAGGCGGCATCGCAGTCCGCTGATTCCAGACCCAGACGCCCCGATCCGCGAGCAGGTTCTCGGATCGGACGTCTCGTCCATGCCAGCGAACAGCTTCCTCGACGGAGATTCCGGCCTCCGCTCCGAGAGGGGCAGCAGGGGCTTCTCGAAGAACGAAGCGCTAATCTCGGGAGCTGCCGCTGGCCTAGGTGCAGCTGCCCTGGGGGAGGCACTTAAAGCCCCGGCCCGTCGCCGTAGCCGCAGCCTCAGCCGTGAGCGCATCATTACGCAGAAGGCGGCGGAGAAGGTGCGTAGCGCCAAGTCGGAGCACAACCCTAAGCACAGCCGCGACCGCAGCGTCAGCGACAACGCTAAACGCGCCGAGAAGCACAGCGAGGTGAGCGGAGGATCGCCGCGCAGGCGGTCCAGCCGCGGACACCACGACGACTCCGTCCTAAGCGGCGAGTCGAGCCTGCTCACCTCCTCCAAACTCTCAGAGCGCTCGCACCGCTCCGCCGCATCGGGGAAGTCATCCATCACTAACCCCAAGCTCCTCGAGACCGTCGAGGACGCTATACGCCGCCTCATCCTGCCCGAGCTCAACGCCCTCAAGAAGGAGAGCGCCAGCCGCGACAAATACGACCGCGAGCAGCGCGAGCCCCGCCACCGCCGCAGCTCCCTCACATCTAGCAGCGCGCTCTCTCAGGAGTCCCGCGAGGGCGAGACGCGCAGCAAACGCACCAGCGCCGGCGACGCATCGTTGAAATCCAAACCCGGCGATGACCGCGACCGCGCCGTCTCCACCGGCACCGTGCGCGCCTCCAAAGACCGCCGCAGCTCTCGTGGTGGCTCTGAGTCTCCGCGCCCGCACACGCCGCGGACACCGCGCAGCGTGGATCGTATGACGGGTGATGAGTCGGCGTCGAGGCAGAAGAGGAGCGGGAATACCAAGAAATCGGCGTTTGGAGCGCTGGCGGCGGGGATTGGACTCGGTGCGCTTGCGGGGGGACTGAAGAGTCATGGCGGGCACGAGGAGAAGGAGTATGATGATAAGGAGCGTGCGGAGAGGCGGAGACGGCGCGCGAGGAGTCGGAGCCGGGGGGATGATGTGGAGAGCTTTGATCGTGCGGAGGAGGATGTGCCGCCCATGCCGATGATGAGTGACGTTAATGCGTCGGATATCACGCGCTCGTCGATCTTGTCGGCGTCGACGGAGCGGCCGAGGTCGGCGGCTGCGGAGAAGGACGGGACGCCGGTGCATGGTGTTGCGAGGGGGTTTGGGAGTCCGTATGGTAGTCAGGGACAGGGACAGCGCGGATTGGGAATGCTGAATAATAATGGCTCGACGCCGGATGTGAGCCGTATGGACCTGCGGATGGGAGAGGGCGAGTATGACCTCGATGAGTATGGGCGCAAAGTCCCTCTCAACCGATCCGTTGATGATTCCGTATACGACCAGCAAGCGTACCACCACGACCTCGACGCCAACAAGGGCGGATATGGCAAAGCAGCCGCCGCGGCAGTTGGCGGTGGCGCCTTGGGTGTTCTAGCCGCCAACGCGATGGCGCATCATAATCAACACCACGAGGACGACGCGCGCTACCTCGAAGAAGACGAAGATGCGGATGCGGCATACTATGCACACACCCAGCATGTCCCATCGCCGCTCAAATACGTGCCTTACAACCAAGAAAAGCGCGGCCTCTCCCCCATCCAGAGTGTGTCTGGCTACACCGAGGCTGATGAACAGGAGCGTCTCCAGAAACAGCGCGATTCGAGAGCTACGATGACGCAGAGTTCGCGGTCGCGCGGATCTCTCGCTTCGACGTCGCTTGACCAGAGTCCGGCCCATAAAGCAACGTCTATCCGCTCCGATGGCGTCCTGGGGGTCGACCCGCGCAGTTTCGATTTCAGGGATGTCCGCATGGGCGGGCTGACCGACTCGGAGCTTACCCAGGAGGGTGATCTTGATCACGACGCCGATGCGGACGCGGATGCTGCGTCAGAGGCGGAGTACCAGCGTCACCGCAGCGCGGCCTTTGAAGGCGGCGACTGGGCCGGCCCGGATTACATCCACACACCCGTAGCGGTCGAGAGCGCCGTCGCCAGTCTGCTGGACGCGAGTGTCTTGACTGGACACACTGGGGAGCCGAGCCCAGCGCTAGAGGGTGGATATGAGAGTCACCTCGGCGATGCGAAGAGTGCTCCTGCGGGAGTGAATCGCCAGGCTAGCTATGCGTCGTATGACGAGGGCTCCGAGTGCCGCTTCACAGCCAAGGGAGTCAGTCCAGCTGCCCCTGCGTCGCCTACGACTCGCGACACCGTCCCTATTGACAGCCATGGTGTGGACACGTATCCAGAGTATGAACTCGACGAGCAGGGCCGCAAGATCACGATGCCCAATTACAAGCAGCACAGCGGCAAAGGCGCCGCAATCGCTGGTATCGTCGGCGCAGCTGCTGGCACCGCAGCCACGATGCTAGTTAACCACCACCAAGTCCCCGAACAGCACTATGCTCAGCAACAGGGACATGACCAGATCCCCGGCGCGCCGCTGCAGAAATCCTTTAAAGACCGCGCGAGGGATTATATACCCCCTTCGCCGCGGAGAGGTGACATGTACCTCGATTCTGACGAAGAGAGTTCCCGAGCCAAGATGAGTGCTAACGCCGCCCCGGGCATGGACGATCCGGTTGACCCCATGTTCGCGGAGGACGCGAGCGTGACTACAAACCCGAGCGTCATCAACGGCCCCAGCGAGCCCTACAGTCCCGCGGACGACCGCGAGGTGCAACAGGGCGATAGGGATTGGTACTACAAGACCCCCACGCGCAAGGCTGTCGGCAGCGGTAGTGCTGGGAGCGGTCTTCTCAGGGGGGCGGATAGCGATAGTGGACTCCGCGCGGCGCAGATGGGACTCATGGACTCTGCGCCCCTGGGGGGGAAGGCGCATACGCGTGATCAGAGCTTGGATGAGGAGTGGCACCGCACTTCTGATGAGAGGAAGAGGGATACGCTTATCACGAACCCGTATGAGGGGTCTAGTCCCGTCACGCTTCTCGGGGGTGAGAAAGATAGGAATCTCCTTGGGCAGCTGGGGTATGAGGGCGTGCGACGGAGCCTTGGTGGTGAGGCCGGGGGGTATAATACAGGTAGTCCCGGTGCGGTGCCGAAGGATGAGGGATACATCTCGTCGGCGCCGAATGCAAGGTCGCCGGGGGTGGTGACGCCGGAGCCGAAGAGGGGCGTGGTGGGGTTTGCGGATGCGGAGGGGATGGGGCCGGGGGAGTTTGATGCGGGGGATCCGTTTTATAGCCCGCAGCAGAGGCATCAGAGGCAGTTGAGTGGGATGTCGCAGGGGATGGAGTCGCCGCTTTATGATGGGGCGATGGGGAGGCATAGGGAGGCGATTAAGAGTAAGGATATTGTGGCGTTGATGGATCATGTGAGTATTTCTTTTTTCTTTTTCGGATGGGTTTATGGGTTACTGACAACTACAGCTCACCGTTCGAGATGCCCAGCGCAATGCGCGGGATACCGAGATCCTCGTCACCCTCGTGCGCGCCGCCGCCGAGATGCGCAATTCCTTCGAAGACATGAAGCGTCTCCTCGCCGACACCGAAGACGTCGTCATCACCGAAGTCCAACGCAACACCGACAAATCCATCATGAAAGCCATCAACGGCCCGCGCCCCCTCCCGCAATCCGTCAAGTCCCTCCGCTCCGGCACGGGCGACGACGACGACCTCCCCACGAAGCGGCGCAACGTGTTCAAGCGGGCCCTGAAGGGGCTGAGCATGCGCTCCACCAACGACCTCGCGCAGATCGAGCGCATGCTTGTCCAGCTCCTAGGCGATGTGGAGGGGTTGAAGGTCGCGCAGGGCTTGTCGTCGAGTGTTGCGCGGGGGGAGGGGTTTGATGATGACGAGTATGATGATGCGCATCAGGAGGGCGCGGCGGAGCAGGATCGCGGGTATGAACCGGAGGGCCATGCGGGCACGACGACAGCCAGCCACGCAAGCCAGAGCGGACACTTCTCCAACCCGCTGTCGCGCGGCACGAGCGCGTCGCAGGGGTTTGGGGGGAGGAAGCTCAGCGAGAATAGAGTCAGTACCGTGCCCGAGGGCGACGAGGACGATAACGTACCCGACTACCGCGAGCGGGCTATCCTAGGCAATGCTTACGACGACGCCGAGCCCCTCCCCCCACTCGACCACAACCCGCGCCCTGGCTCCGCACCCCTAGGCACCCCGCCCCGGCGCGTCGAGGCCGCGAATCTGAGTAACGAGAACACGCTGCGCACGGACAAGAGCAAGAAACACAAGTCCTCCTCGTCGTTTGGATGGAACCCTATCCCTAAGATCTCGCGCTGGTCAGAGACGACGGCTAGTACGGTGGCGAAGGGCTTCCGTAGTAGTGGGGGACGCAAGGACGCTGCGCCAAACTCGCCAAATACGACTAGCCACCCGCAGTCAAGGAGTGGTAGCGATGTAGGGAATTACGATCATGATGTGTATGGGGGTGATAAATTGCACAGTGGTTTCTCTGCCGCGACGCTGCCGCTGCAGCAGAGTGCTGATAGCCTCGCTCAGCAGCCTCACGACAACACCCAGCAAGCACACCAGGCACACCACGCCGACGGCCTCTCGAACCTTCCCCCCCTCCTCCCCCCGGAAGACCCCAAATACAAAGCCCACCGCAACTCCCTCAACCTCCAGCACCCGCAGCCGCGCACGGGACACCATTACCAGGGGACGCTGGAGCGGGAGGCGCAGGATTTTAGGGGCATGGGGAGTCCGCGGAGTGTTGATTGGGGGAGCACGACGAGTTTGGACAGGTTGCCGCAGAATGCGAATATGAATCGTTACAGTAATGGGACGACGGGGATGGAGGATAGTCAGGGACAGAGGCATTACGATGAGGGACCTGCAAGGCCGCCGAAGGAACCCCTCGACTCCTCCAGCGCGGGGGCGGCGCAGTATCCCCCTAAACCTGCCGTCCGCGGCGGTGGGAAACTCACGAAGCCGAGTCCCCTCGCCACGGAACAGCGTGTTGATTACGACGCCGCGAATAACGATGACGATGGACGACGCAGCGCCAGCGCCGCCAGTAGCGCGAGGACCTACGAGGGGAGTCCGAGGGCGGTGCATAGGAGTGTGAGCGGGCTTGCTGCGGTCCCGACGAGGAAACCGACGGGGCCGAGGAGTATGGGGAGTCCTAGGGGAGCGGGGGAGGGGGGAGGGGGGAAGCGTGGTGAGTCTTCACCGAGTCCGGGGCGGGGGGGGGAGTACCGGTATTGGTAGTCCCCTACTCTAACGGCGCGCGCGTGTGGTTGACCGACTGATCATTTCGCCTGCCGGAGTCCGTGGGGGTGAGGGACGATGGGGGGTGTGGTGGTTGGGCGGCCGGGGGCCGTTTGTTGTTTGTTGAGGAGAAGCTGATTTGTTTGGGGTTTTTGCAGATACGTTTGGTTTTGACGGCACCACGCCCGCGCTGCGAGGGCGGTGGAGCGGGGAGAGCGAGTGTTTCTAGATCCCCTCCGCGTCGTTTCTGCTTTTTTGAGAGGGAAGTTTTTTCGTTTGCTTTAGGCGGGGATGATGACTTTTATGACGATTATATTGAGGGGTTCTTTTCTTCTCTCTCCTCTCTCCTCCCTTCAATTTCATTTTTTTGGAGGGAGGGAGGGGGAGGGGAAGAGGAAGGGAGGTTGGGTGATGATGCCATGATGACTCTCTTTTTTTTACCTCGTTTTTTTGTGGGGGCTTTTCGTCTGCGAGAGACGGGGGATATAAAAGGAGCGAGATCGAGAGGGTTGTGTGTGTGGGATTTTGATTGGGATAGTGTAATATTTTGTGAGGGGGGTGAATAAAAGCAGTGTGCTTCGAGGCTTTTCTTGGGTTTTTGGGGTTGAGATTGTGAGATGTGAGACGTGCGAGTGAGTTGGTGGGGGGGAATAAAGTTTCTTGTCGACGACGAGTATAATCACGGCCTGCGTAGTTTGCGTCTCATCGATTTGTATTTATTATTGAACTTGTCTATTTCCGCCTTCCCTTGCCCGCAAACGACCTTAATGCTCTGGTGTTTTGAAGGTTTGTTGAATCTTGGGACTTGGACATTGTGAGGTGCGCGAGTTGGTGATGATAAAGTTTCTCGCCGACAACGATCATAATCATGACCTGCGTAATTTGACTCTATCAATTTCCATTCATCATTGAGCTCTCTATTTCCGCCTTCCCTTGCCCACGCACGACCTCAGTGTTGTATTTTGAATAGTTCCAACATGCCATCCACTTCAGACTATCTAACTATCAGATTCGCTTAGTCATCCGTCCGAACTATGACAAGTTGTCAGCGATGCTGTCAACCATTACCGCCATATTACCAGATCTCGCTGCGCTCCAATTCGGCCATTCCCTGCTTTCCTCGAGACACCTGTGAGACAGCAACCTTCCCCCGTCCGGCAAAGCGGCTGTCCCTCTCACTCGTTCCAGCCAGCCATCTAGCCAACTTTCCAGTCTTCTAGCGGCCCTTTCATCCCATGGAGTCTCACACAGTCTCGCATCGTAGGCGTCATGGTTGACTTCCGCACCACGCCATTATCTCATAGCTCGACGCTATGTCTGCCTCGGTGATGCAAGAGGGAGCACGGGGAGGTCGTGGAAACAGGCCTCGTTGTAAGGCGAAATGGGCGGGGGATGGGCGGGAAAAGTGGTTGTCGTCATGCGATGATATCAGAGGTCCGCACTTACGTTGTCGGTACGTTTATTACGAGAAGTGGGATGTTTGTGGGGGAATTTTTGAAGGCTTAAGTATCAGCACACCCTCGTTTTGCTTCCCTTTGACCTTGCTACTTCCTCTTGGTTGATTCTAAAACTTTGCTGCGGAAGCTTAATATTTGTCACCTCACGATCACGGTCCAGTAACCACTTCCCGGGCTCTACAAGAAAGAAATTCGAACGCAAGTTTCCCGTATTTCCGTGGCCCAGCTGAAAGCTGACAATTTCCAAGCCCAGCGCAACCCGACTACAGACTTCCCCCAAATCTCAAAAATGGCAGGCGCGGGAAAGCGTATGTAGCCCCACCCGGTCTCGCAGACCTCCTGGCTAAACCAACCCCCAGGTGGCATTCTCGGGGCCGTATCATGGATCTTCCTAGCCGGCGCCCTGGTGATGCTGTGGCTGGTGGTCCTCTCGGGCGTCACGCACCAAACGCCGCTGAACAAGATCTGGTTCCTGCGCGCCGACACGTCGGGCATCGCCGACGCACGACCTATTTCCCAGTGGACGTTCTGGCATGTCTGTGGGGACCATAACGACAATTGCGGGGCCTCGGTTCCGGCTCTGCCGCTGGGGTATGCGTGGAGAGGAAACTCGAATGGTGCGCCTGCGGCGCTGGTCGGGTGAGTTTTGGGATACAATTGCTGGAAGATGCGGTGCTAATGGAGGCGTAGATCTCACGGCCATGATACTACGTCCAAGTACTACTACTACATGTGGCGCTTCGGATGGGTTTTCTTTTTCATCGCGTTCATCTTTGCCAATTTGGCTGCTCTGAGCGGTTTCCTGTCGTGCCTCCGCTTGGTCGCTGGTGCGACCGGTCTGCTCACTCTCGCTGCGACATTCTGCCTATGCTTAGCCGCCTGCTTGATGACGTGAGTCCCCGCCCCAAAACTCCAACAACAACTAACCTCCCTCCCAGCGCCGTATTCGTCAAAGCCCGCGACCGCTTCCAGGACGAAGGCCGCAGCGCCAGCGTCGGCCGCTACGCATTCGCCTTCACCTGGTCCTCCCTAGTGCTGCTCTTCGTCTCCGCCTGCCTGTTCCTGGGCGGGGTCCTGATCGGTCGCAAGAAGCGCGACACGGGCACCAACGCCAAGGAGACGGCGTACAATGACAACGTCGGGTATCCGCCGGGAAACCAGGGGTTCGCGACCGATAATGTCCAGTCGGGGTATACGACCACTGTGCCGCAGCGGACGGATATTATTCGTGAGCAGGTGCCGGAGCCGACGACGGCGAGGAGCGGGCAGAGGATGAGGGGCTTGTTCCCGAGGTATAGGGAGGCGTCGCTGGTATAGGGTGTTGGGTCAACGACTTGACGACTCGACGACTCGACGACGGGGACGACTGGAAGGGGCGATCGGCAGGGGCAATAAACAATACGGGGAAAGAAGAGGGCGGCGACAAGATGTAATATTAACTGGAGGCCAGGGGGAGGGTTAAAAGAAAGACGAGAGAGAAAAAGTATGCTGTTGATAGTACAGCGATTTAATAGGTTCGCTCAGGGCGTGTTGTGTGTTGGCGTTCCAATATGCCTAGTTTTTAGCTTAAGTTTGCATACATTGCCCGATAACAATAATTGTAACCATAATTATGCTTTGTTGTCAGCCGGTGGATTACTCTTTCGACGATTCCTGACCGCAGCTGGGGGCTCGCCTTTGGTGTGGTTTGCTGACAGGAAACTTGAAATTATCACATTCTCTCAGAATTCGTCATCCCGCGACTAACTTCAAACATGACGACATGCAGTCACAAAATGGCAGCGTCACATGGGAATAAACGGCAAAAAGCATATGAGCCTGCTTGGATTGAAGTCCATTGAGTTACAGTGTAAGCCGCATGTTTGTTCTCAATTCATTCTATCATCAATTCTCCAGGTATAACTTACGCCCTGCCTTCCTATCTGCTAATGTAATTACAGTTGACCACTAAGCATCCTCTTCGTCGCAACCCAGACACTCCTTGCAAGCGTTATCCGTGTTGTCACTGTCGCATACTTGGTAGTGGCCCTTGGCATGGCCGTTGACTGTTGTCATAGGGAGTCGGATGCAAGCCTGCAGCTCGTTAGCTTAAAAGTTCTAATAAGTAAAATATACTTACGTCTACGTAGTTATAGAAATCACCTGGATGGATCCCGTCCCAGTTGTACTGCATCCCCTTTATGCTATCCACATTGGCGTCGTGGCTAATCAGGAGGTTGTAATCAGGATTGCAGTCGAAGTCCTTTATCATCCTGGAGGTTTGCTTTGCGTATCGCAGCCGAAATGCCACAGTGCTCCTCTTAGTAGGCGAAGAACACCACGTGTCCTTCCTTGTCCTTGGGGATATATAGCGTGTTCGTTGACGCTGTTGATGCGTGCGATGATTCTACCGAATGCGCGGAGGAGACCAAGATTAGCACCGAAAAACGTAATCCCGGCATTTACTGTCATTGTGTCTGAAGTTCCGTGGGTCTCGGTGGACGATGCTTCAATCGTCGCCTGGTCTAGTCTAGGATGGCGATTGGGCACCCTCCTACCCTCCTACGGTACAGGACCGCCGTTGCAGTGGCTCCTCTCAGATACCTGGACAGCTGTGGCAAGGAGATAATGTCAGCCTCTAGCTTTTTGGTTTTGGACAGCACAAAAATAGTGGCCAGGAAAGACTTACGTTTGTCCGCAACTCTCCTGACTGTCTTAAAATCGCAGAATTGATAGCAGTAAGGGAGGACCAATATGAGGCAGCGAGTGGCGTATGTGAATGTGGACTACTCAATATATGATAAAGCGGGAGGGTTCTCTTTATATCAGAGCATCCTAAGCCTAATAATAGTCCCCCTTTCAAAAGTTAGACTCGGAAGAGAGCGAGGGTGAACCAACACCGCAGCTTGCAAGATTGGCACCAGCAACAGCATGATCGCCGCATGCTTGATCGCCCTAAAGAGCATTCCTGTGAAGGATTTAGCGTTGAATCCTTTCAAAACCTAGTTCGGAATGTATCGTCGATGATGTCCAACGATGTGCACCACTCTAGGGATGTATTGTGGAATGATGCTTAAAATCGGCACATGGCTATGCACAACGCTAAGGGCGGTTGAGATTGAAGTTATTTACAGCTCATGTATCTTTGGCAGCTGATTGATGGCAGGTTTGTTAGCTTCTCTATATTATCAATATGAGAGTTGTAACACACCCGTAACTTACAGTACACACAGTGCAAGAAAAGTTACTGCTAGAACGTAGCGAGTAAGACCCGATCCGTGATTTAGGACGGAGGTGGGAGGTGTCATGGACACAGGTATTGGGATTTCTAGGGGCAAGCAGCGAGGTTGTTTCGATTATATCTTTCTCATATTAGCACGATTGAGAGCAAAAATCAACTAAATTGCAAGCCTGTGTGTGGGAGAGACCGATTCTGTTGAGTTTATGGTTGTATGTGATTGTTCTTGTTGTATGCTAGTATTATTATCATTGTGTTTCAACCTGGCCCCCCCTTTTCCCTTCCTAGGTTCCCTCTCACAGAGCTTTCAGTCACAGTAACCATAACGTATTCCTGAGCTGCACAAGAACCATTCTTTTAATACCATAATATATAAACTTAGCTATTACTAATAAATACCATAAGATCTCGCAATAAAATCGCTTTCTCCCTTTTCTCCCAGAACCCGCCAGGAGAACCCGCCGCCATAAGCGCGCTTGCTCTCAACAAATCCCAAACATATATCTCACACCCCCATCGCGGCACCCATAACCACTAACCTCTCCCCCGGTCAACTCCTAACCCCTTTAACACCCCCTCCACCCGCCCATCCCCATCCCATGCCCCCCCATACCACCCATTCCCATCGGTCCACAAGGTCCACAAGGACCGCACCCACACCCGCCCTGCTGCCCGGACTGGCCTCCCATCTGTCCTCCCATCTGTCCTCCCATCTGCCCCCCCATGCCTCCCATCATCCCGCCCATCTGCCCCCCCATCTGTCCCATCATCCCCGGCGAACAAGGCCCGCACCCCGCCATACCCCCATGGGTCCCCGCCATAGGCCCACACCCAATAGTTGTCTCAATCCCACCACTCTGACATAACCCCCCACCCGGTTGCATCGTAATCGATCCTCCCCCCGGAAGCATAATAGATCCCCCCCCCATCTGCCCCCCTATGCCGGGAATCATGATAGAACCCCCCTGATTCTGTCCGCCGCGAGTTTGTTGCTGCGGTGGCGGCTGTGCGAAAGTGGGTGGTTGAGGCTGGGAGAATGAGGGAGGGGGACGGGATTGTGTTTGTGGAGGCGGAGGGCGGGAGAGGGAGGGGGAAGGGCGTGATTGCGTTTGGGGTGGGGGAGGGCGGGTTTGTGTTTGTGTTTGAGTTTGGGAGGGGGTAGCGGCGTGGGCGTAGGCGCCGGTGAAGGGGTTGCGGAAGGACATTTTGTGTTGTTTTTGTGCGTAGGTGGTGGTGTTTGATGGAATGTTCGAGTGTAGCGGTGCAGAGAATTTGGGGTAGGGCATAGGTTTAGAAGGAGAAGACGACGTGATATAGGTGTTTGGGAGGGGTGGTGGGAATGGGAAGGAGAATAAAGGGATTCACAACGACGGGTAGGAAGGTAATCACATCCATTAACTGCAACTCATACACCATATGCGGAATAAATCAACGTAATTGCCATTCATCACCCCCACCCCCGCAGAACGCCCCTCTCCCCCCTTTTCAGCGCCGCCTAAACTCCACCATCGGCCCATCCTTCAAACTCGTAAACGAATCCCTCAACTGATACTCCGCCTGCCTCTCTCTCCCCTCCCCCATCCCCCTCCCTCCCTCCCCCACCCTCGGCCCACCCGCAACCCTCATCTCAAAAGCCCACACCACCCTCCCCAACGCAATCATCAACTCCGTATACGCGAGCGCGCGCCCAATACACGCGCGCGGCCCAACACTAAATGCACAGAACGCGCTCTTCGCATTCGTCACGTCTTCGGCTGTCACATCCCCGGAGGCAATCCAGCGCTCGGGCTTGAAGGTGAAGGGGGAGGGGTAGTAGGCTGGGTTGTGGTGCACGGCGTAGTGGGAGGTGCCCACGTCGACACCGGCGGGGATGTGGTGTCCGTCGATGTCGATTCCTCTCCCTAGGACTTCGCGGGGGAGGATGCCGCCGACTGGGGGGCTGAGGCGCATGGACTCATCGAGGACGGCGCGGAGGTAGGTGCAGGAATTGAGAGTCGCGCCGGCGACGATTTCCTCCTCATCTGAAAAGGCCTTGCGGACTTCAGCCTGTACGGTCTGGAGAGCGGCGGGGTTGTGGACGAGGTAGAAGAATGCAGCTGCGAGAGCGGTGGAGGTGGTGTCTGAGCCGGCGATGATGAGGAGGTTGGACTCGCCCCAGAGCTCGGGGAGGGCGAAGCCCGCGCCGGTTTCGGGGTCTTTGGCTTTGAGGAGGTAGTAGAAGAAATCTTTGCGGTCGACGTCGGGGTTCTTCATGCGCTCGACGGATTGCGATTTGCTGTACGCCATGTAGCGTGCGCGGCCGGCGGCGAGGTGGGGGAAGAGCACGTGGTCGAGGTGGTATTCGTGGAGGAGGGGCATGGCGCCGCACTGGGGGGGTGTTAGTTGTGCTCTAAACGCTACTGAGATCTCATATCTCATGAGTGGGGGGACCAACAATAAGATGGCGATGCGCCGCATTTCCAATAAGTTCAATCGCGAACCGGTTATCCTCCTTCTCTAACATGCCAAACGCCTTTCCAAAACAGAGATCCCCCATAACATCGAAGGTGAGATAATTACACCAATCAGCCATATTCTGGCCTAATCCCCATCCCTTCCTCTCCTGGCCAACAGTGGCAGAGCTCGCGCCTAGCCCCTCGGTGAAGGCGCGCACGTTCTGCAGAATATAGCGCTCCATGGCCTTCACGGCGCCGTCGGAGAAGGCGTGAGAGAGAACGCGGCGCTTGCGCGCGTGCTGCGCCTTGTCGATGCTGCTGTGCGTGTTGTAGGCGTGCTTGTTAGCGGGGAAGGCAGTGTAGAATTTGCCCTTTTGGACGGGGGAGTGGAAGCCGTAGATGCTATGGAGGGCAGTGGCCGTGTTGGTGGAGAGGCTGTTAGGGCCATAGCGGACGAAGGGGCCTGTAGGTGTTAGAGGAGAGGTTTGGTGAGGCTGGAGAGTGGGGACATACCGTATTTCTCGTGCATGAGGTAGAGGGAGAGATGGCGGTTTCCATGGTAGGCGTTGTATACTTGATGCCAATCTGTGATTTTTGCGAGGAAGGGACCTGGGTAGGAGGCCAGAGGGTGGAATGTGAGGCGGTAGAATGAGACGAGGAGGGCCTTTGGGAGACCTGGTTAGCTGGATAACAAGGACGAGGACGCGGCGATCTCGAGATCTGAAGCTGAGCAACCTACGTAGATAAAAAGCGATGCCACCAGTCCACCGAGGACCAGCATTGCTAGCCTCGTGGGCGCGACATCCTGTAGCTGAGCCAACATCTTGATGGCTGTCTTTTTCACCATGGAAGTTGATAACAGTGTAAAAGATGGTGCAAATGTGTCCTCGGATATATATATAATGCAATATACAACTGTGAATATCCGTCTCCAACCCTAGACCCCGCCGCGCTCCTTGACTACCCGTGTATCCATACCTTGGTATCTTACCCCAAGGTATACCGTGGTATACTGAAGTATAGACGCATCGGGGAGCTCACTAATCGCCATCTCCAGAGCTGTGATTCGACAATCCGCTCCCAACCCTCTCGCCGAGACACCCACTCCGGGCATAGGTTCCGTTCAATGGAAGAGCCTTAGTCGAGCTATTGTCAAGTCCTCGTCAAGTCATCTTCGTCGTCATCGCCGCAGTCCCGTGATTGGGTGGTTTGTCCCATTTACGAGGCGGCAGCAGCGGGCGGGTTGTGTCGGCATTGTGAATGGGGTGGTGGTTGGCAACTTGGCCGGGCAGAATCACGGGGTTGATCTTTGTTTTACAGCGGGGAAGGGAGAGGAAAAGTGTAGAACTAGCAAAGTGAATCAATCCACTTCTGCTGTAGTTCTTATACCCCCTTAGCTTTCTGGACTCGAGAGTCTGATCTCGAGTGCCAATGCTACTTTTTGTCTCTTATTGTAGCTTAAAGTATGAGGTTTATATAGTGGTTTTTTTTGTCGTGGCCGACCGACCTATTGGTCTAGCGAAAGCAGCATATAACGTACATGCATAGCGAGCGGGCCAGCATAGTGAACGGGCCACTCCACCCACTTTTCACAACTTCTTACCTCTAACATCAATTTTCACAACCATCAAAGATGGAATGTTCTTCAAACGAAAGCCGTATTGTCCTTGCTCTCGAGGCATTAAAAAGAGACCCTAATCTCTCGATTCGAGCTGCAGCTAAAGTCTACCAAGTTGCCCGTACGACCCTCGAATGCCGACAAGCTGGACGGAAATCACGACGCGATATCTCTGCCAACTCGAGGAAGTTGACCAATTTAGAAGAGAAGGTGCTTGTCGATCGGATACTCGACCTAGATTCGCGAGGATTTCAGCCCCGGCTTGAAGACGTTCGAGAAATGGCCGATCGCCTCCGTACGGACCGTGATGCATCGCATGTTGGACCACGATGGGCAGAGAACTTTGTCAAGCGCAACCCTGAGCTTACCACGCGTTTTCGGCGTCGAATCGATTACCAGAGGGCCCAATGCGAAGATCCGGACGTAGTAAATGCGTGGTTCCGGCTTGTACAGAACATGATTGCTAAGTATGGCATCCAAGAGGAGGATATCTATAACTTTGACGAGACTGGGTTTCTAATGGGCATGCTCTCGAGCGCAAAGGTTGTTACAAGCTCCGAACGAAGTTCTCAGCCTCGTACGAAGCAGCCAGGCAATCGAGAGTTTGTTACAGTGATCCAGGGAGTATGCGCGACTGGCTGGACACTACCTCCGTACGTGGTTGTGAAGGGAAAATTCCACCTCACATCTTGGTATCAGAACGGCCGATTCCTGAGCGATTGGAGGATCCATACAAGTACCAACGGCTGGACTACAAATGAGATTGGTTTAGATTGGATCAAGCACTTTGATCAGTGCATGAAGGCTTGTACGAAAGGTGTTTATCGCCTCTTAGTCCTCGACGGCCATACAAGCCACCACTCTACCGAATTCGACGACTACTGCAAGACTAATAGTATCCTACCACTCTGTATGCCTCCCCATTCGTCTCATATCCTCCAGCCTCTTGATGTCAGTTGTTTTAGCCCGCTCAAGGCTTCGTATGGGAAGCAAATTGAGAAGATGATGCGGATGCAAATCACTCACATCACGAAGGACGACTTTTCCGACGCATTTTTAGAGGCCTTCAACATAGCTATGACTGAAAACAACGTACGAGCAGGCTTTAGAGCGACTGGTCTTGTCCCTCTCAACCCCGAAGCTGTGCTTTCCCAGCTAGATCCAAAGCCAATGACACCTGAGCCACTGAACACACGCCCAAGGACAGCTCAATCTTGGGTTACAAAGACCCCTAAGACAGCGTCCGAGATCACTCAACAGTCAACCACCATTAAGAATAAGATCGCTAGGCATCAAAATAGCTCCCCAACCCATATGTACGACGTGATTGACGCCCAGGCAAGAGGTATGTCGAAGAGCACACGAGCTTGTGTTGATGCGGGCTGAGCTAAAGGACCTTCGTACGGCAAATGAGGTACTTAGTAAACGCCGGAGGGCTAAAAAAGTACGTCTACGGGCAGGAGGATCACTTAGTATGCAGGAAGCAGAGGATCTGATAACTCAGAAGAATGTGGATGAGCAGTTGAAGGAGGAAACAAGTCGTGGTGGTCGTCGTACGGAGGGGGCTCAAGTACGCGCCCAGCACTGTAGCGTTTGCGGTGAGGCCGGTCATAATGCACGAACCTGTCAGGTAGTAGTAGTAACCTCTGAAGAAGAGGATTCTATATAGTTTCAATTGATTTGGCATTGTGGTTTAGACTGCGACCGTGGTAAAGAATGCATGTGGTGGTTTAGTGGCCCGTTCGCTATGCTGGCCCGCTCGCTATGCATGTACGTTAACGATAATCGTCGTGACCAAACTTTTCGCTTCGCTCAAGGTTGGAGTAACGCAAGAGGAAGCAAGTTGCGCCAACTCACAACTTGCATATGTTCACCGCTACTCTAGAGTGATGACATGTAATGAATCATAGAGGTTCGTAGGAGCTTTTAGAGCTATCGTTCATGCTCCTAGGCCTCTAGTTGGTAGAGATATGTCATGTGGTAGTATGAGTGATGTCATGTAATGAATCATAGAGGGTTGTAGAGATATTGTCATACTGACATTCGTTGCACTCAGTTTGCTATCAAACTCAAGAGCAAACTTAGAAATCTCCTCCTCAAACCTACAAGTCACCATACATATCTTGGCTTATCACACCAACAACAGAAGCAATACTACTCAACGATTGCTGCAAACTCTTCTACTACATCTGTTTATGCTACATACATCACGGCATATCATTTGGACACTCATTGAACAAGTTATTAAGAAAATCTCCTCCTTAAGGGGGTGGGTCAATACTACCACATGGCATATCTCTACCAACTAGAGGCCTAGGAACATGAACGATAGCTCTAGAAGCTTCTACAACCCTCTATGATTCATTACACGTCATCGCTCCTTAGTTACCCACAAGATTGGTTAAGTTATGACATAATTTGTCTATAGGTACTCTGACCTTGGACCTCCTTTTCACTTCCTATAGGCTAGGAACCCAAGAGATGGTTCTATGGGATTCTCTTACGTTCACTACATGATTAGCAAGCTAGTTGTGGGTCGCACTTGATTTCTAATACATTTACCAAGCCTGGTTAGTCATGGAAAGTCATGGAAAATGAGAGAACTACACTCCTTTGGCATAAATAGGATTGCCCTTTCCTTAAGAAAGGGCAAGCAGGCAATACAGTAAATCGACTAGCACATACTTCTACGTCTTTTCTAAGCTTCCAAGCATTGATCTTGTTATTCTCTGTTTTTGAAAAGTCAGTGAGGTGCTAACCTCTGACTTACCCCTGAGTTCTCAGACTCAACATTTGTTGCAACTTGTCTAAACCACTTCACCACATCATACACCTGATTGCTGCGTTGTGGAATAGTCTAAGCTACAACCCTTTGGCTCTGTTTCCTAAGACAGTGTGTTGTCTTAGTAAATTCATCCCTTCCTTGGGTGGCTAGATTCTCATATCTGGTGCACCCACCATTACACCTTGCCTGCTTCAAGCTTCAACTATTTCTATAGCAGCACTTCGATACTACAATGGAGGACGACCAAGCTCCTACAACTACTGCTGAACAGCAGATGCAACAACTGTTTGCCTTTATACAAACTATAGCAAACAAACTTGAGAATTTGGAAAACACCTTTCAAGCCAACACTTCAGCAACACAATCTTCAACTCAGACACATCATACAGAGCTTCCCACAGCTCCTCTGGCTATTTCGAGTACCCCAGGTGCACTTCCTAAAGTGCAAACACCAGATTTATACCATGGAGACAGGAGGAAGTTGAAGGGATTTCTTATGCAACTGGACATCTACTTCACCCTCAGGCCTCATCAGTTCACCTCAGATATTCAGAAGATATATTTCGCTGCCAGCTACCTCCGTGGATCTGCATTCAACTTCTTTGAGCCATATCTTAGAAGACTTAGTGGCAACAACCAAAATACCACTACACCTTTGATTACCTCTTATGACCAGTTTCAAGAGGAACTTACCAGGACCTTTGGAGACATCAACGAAACTGCTACAGCAGAAAGAGAGCTACAGAAGCTATGTCAAAAGACCTCTGCTGCTCAGTATACAACAGAATTTAGGAGAATCACTTCTCACTTGACTTGGAATGAAGAAGCCTTAGTCTTCACTTACTACCAAGGGCTCAAGAGCTCTATTAAGGATGAACTCAGCAAAGAAGAACGCCCTACAACACTTCAAACGCTTATAGAGAAAGCTGTCAGACTTGATGATAGGCTTTTTGAAAGAAGAAAGGAGAAGAACCAAGACTGGCATCCAACAAGAAATTTCAACAATTACACCTCTACACCAACTGCTAAGGACTCAGCACCTGAACCTATGGACTTAGACGCCTCTATAAAGAGATCTACAGCAAATCCAGCACCTCAGCCTACAAGAAGCCCTCAAAAACTGAAAAGGGGTAAACTTACTCCTCAAGAAAGAAAACACAGAATGGTCAACAACCTTTGTTTATACTGTGGCAAAGGGGGGCACAGAATTCAGGAGTGCTATTCAGCACGGGGGAGTGCTGAATCAAAACATATAGCAGCCTCAGACACAGTCACAGCTGCTATTCCTAAAAAACTTGAAAAATCCCCACCAGGCACAACTTCAACTGAGACTACAACTTCTCCCCTAGACAACAAAGATGTGTCGATGGTGCTTTCTCAGAGTCTCACACACCTGTTAATCCCTATTCAACTCCATTTCAAACAACAGGTGTTGTCTACAAGGGCTATGATAGACTCAGGGGCAACAGGCAACTTTATATCTCAAGACCTCATCTTGACACACCAGTTACCTACAATTCCCAAACGCACTCCAGAGTTGCTCCGAGTCATTGATGGAACTCCTATCAGTTCAGGTTCCATTACCTGCAACACCCCAGTACTCAAACTTGAGATTCCCCTAGGAAAATCAACATTTTCAGACACCATCTCTTTAGATGTTATACCAATGAAGTACCCAGTTATCCTAGGTCTTCCATGGCTTCAAAGGCATGATCCAACTATCAATTGGAAGCATTTATCGCTTGGGTTTAGCTCAAATCCTGAGCTCAATACTGAAAAAACCCTTCAAGCCTCAGTTACCCCTATTCAGGTCCAAGACTCAAACTTGTCCCAGATCAAGGATTTTGACCAAACTATGGACGATATATCATCTCTGATATGGGTGAAACCTTTCCAACCTGTCCTGGAGATAGCAGCTACTTCAGATTTGGAGAAATCATCTCAGGAGGTCATTTTGCCTTTAGCATACCAAGACTACCAACATCTTTTTGACAAGGCAAAGGCATCAATTCTGCCAAAGCACCAGCCTTATGACCATGAGATACCACTCGCAAAAGGCTCAATGCCTCCCTACGGCCCTATCTACTCTCTATCTGAATTAGAGCTGAAAACTCTCAGAGAATACCTAGATGAGAACCTTAGTTCTGGCTTTATCAGACCTTCTTCCTCACCAGCAGGAGCTCCTATTCTCTTTGTCAAGAAGAAAGATGGCTCCTTGCGTCTCTGTGTTGATTATAGGGGCCTTAATGCAGTCACTGTTAAAAACAGATATGCTTTACCCCTTATCCCTGAGCTCATGGATAGGCTCTCTTCAGCAAAGATCTTTACCAAGTTAGATCTCAGGGGAGCTTATAACCTGATACGCATCAAGGAAGATGATGAGTGGAAGACAGCATTTAGAACACGCTATGGTCATTTTGAATACCAATGCCTTTTGGGCTTGCCAATGCACCTGCTTCTTTCCAAGCTCTCATGAATGATATTCTAAGACCTTACTTGGATATCTTTGTTGTTGTCTACTTAGACGACATTCTTATATACTCTTTAGACACTCAAGAGCATGTTCTACATGTTAGACAAGTCTTAGAGAAGCTATCTCAAGCACAACTCTTTTGCAAACTTGAGAAATGTCTTTTCCATATGTCTCAAGTTGATTTCTTGGGACATAGAATTTCAACAGAAGGCATTCAGATGGATCCTGAAAAGACAAAAGCAGTACAAACGTGGCCTATTCCTTCCAGCATTAAAGAGGTTCAGTCTTTCCTTGGGTTTGCCAACTATTACAGGAGGTTTATACCAAGATATACATCCTTGGCTTTACCCCTTACTCAATTACTTCACAAGGACACTTTGTATCACTGGGATAAGACACAGCAAGATGCTTTCGATGCTCTTAAAGGAGAATTCAAAGAAGGGAAAATGTTACTACACTTTAACCCCTTGAAACCTGCCACTCTTGAGACAGATGCCTCAGATTTTGCCATTTCTGGAATCTTATACCAAGCTCCAAAAGACAAACAAGAAGAGCTACAGCCTGTGGCATTTTACTCAAGAAAGCTATCAGCAGCCGAACAAAACTATCCCATTACAGACAAGGAACTGCTTGCCATAGTATGTTCTCTAAAGCATTGGAGATGCTACCTTGAAGGGGCAAACTATCCTATCACTATTTACAGTGACCATTCAAATCTCTTGACCTTTACAACCACTAAACAGCTCAATCGACGACAAGCAAGGTGGTCTGAACAACTAGGAGGTTTTGACTTTGTTATAAAACATGTCTCAGGGGCCAAGAATCAAAGAGCAGATCTCCTCTCAAGAAGACATGACTACCAAGATTCTGCTAAAACAAGCAATACAAAGGCCCTGCTAGACTCTACAAAGCTTATAGCAGCATCTTTAAGCAACCCTCGCACTACAGAGGACTTAGAGGGAAACTTATCCCCTCAAGACCAAGTTGCCCCCATTACCTCTTCTCAGGAACCAGAGACCTTTAAAGACTATACACCCTCAGCAACACTTCTTAAAGCATTCAAAGATGCTTACAACCATAATCCCTTTGCGAAAAGAACTTTGGAATACCTCCAGAAGAAAGGTTCCTCTCTTGAGAAAGTTGGACTACAGAATTTCTCAAAAAATCAGCATGGACTTCTCTTATTCAAGAACTATATCTATGTCCCAAGGGATAAACGATTACAGCTACACCTCCTACAGCAGTTCCATGATGCTCCAGCTGCAGGGCACTTTGGCTTTGCAAAAACTTATGAACTTCTAACAAGAAAGTTCTACTGGCCTAGTCTAAGGACTACTCTTCAAGACTATATATCTTCTTGCACTACTTGCAACTTGAACAAACCTACACGGCAAAAGCCCTATGGCCTCTTGCAGCCTCTACCTATACCAGAACGCCCATGGGACTCCATATCCATTGACTTTATAGTCAAGTTGCCTCCTTCTATCCCAAAAGGGGGTGCTACCCCTTATGACTCTATC